ACGTTCGTGATCAATTTTAGAGCACTACTACTCCTTAATGAATCCCCATGGATGACTATATTAGTTCCATTGCTTAAATCCATCCTATGACGAGGAAGCTTTTCATATCATTCTTGTTGATCTATTTACGGCGAACTATCAGATTCCAATACAGGCGCATTTAAAAAGTACAAGCTGGATCATTCAAGTAAAATTCATTTATGAATACAAACAGCATTAAGTTCGGAAGCTTCGGATGACTATATTAGTTCCATTGCTTAAATCCAATATATGACGAGGAAGCTTTTCATATCATTCTTGTTGATCTATTTACGGCGAACTATCAGATTCCAATACAGGCGCATTTAAAAAGTACAAGCTGGATCATTCAAGTAAAATTCATTTATGAATACAAGCAGCATTAATGCAACACTATAACCGAACATCACGTTATCACTCACGTCTCAACTCGAGAGAACGCATTTTATTTACGTTTATTTCGTAAAAAATATGCAAGACATTGCTGACGTAGTTTCAGACGGGTAACAAAATTATAATCATTTTAAAGATTTGGTTTGGTTTGTTTGTGTTTTACGTCCTATTAACAGCTATGGTCATTTAAGGACGTGCCAGGTTTTGATGGTGTAGGAAACCCAGAGTTCCCGGAGAAAAACCACCGACCAACGGCCAGTACCTGGCGACTGCCCCACGTAGGTCTTGAACCCACGACCCAGTGGTGGAGGGCTAGTGGTAGCAGAATGTCAGACGCCTTAACCAACTTGGCCATTGGGGCTCCCATTATTATATTTTAGAACACAGGAAAAAGAAAACAAATACAGGGATGTACATGTACATATAGGATATGTCATGTCTCTCCAGATAGGCAATACTAGTTAGTATCAGTACTTTTAGACATTAACAGCAAACCACGGGATGGAGTGAACAGATTGATCCGTCTTGACATCGTATTTGTTAGCTCATTTATCATGTTCGTTTATTTTTTAAACAAAGCCAAATGAAGAAGCAAAAATATATCAATAGTAAAATAGAAAGCAAACACGTCAACACGCATCAGGTATCATGCCACACAAGACATTTGTGGCAATGGTATTTAACAGAGACAATATGAAAGACAACATGTTTTGTGTCAGCATCGGAGACAAACCCCTTAAGTAAGAACAAACATAATCTAAGACAAAATTAGAAAAAGGAAACATAACCTACAACGAATTAAACCCGTTCCCAGCAGGGACCTAACGGTAAACTGAAGCATACAAAGCAACAGTAATGAAGCCTTACGGGAATCTATAACAGGAATAAGGCGAGCATAAAAACAGCAGAAGTGAAACGCAAACGAAAATCCAACATGGCAGTAACTAGAACGTAAGTACAAATAGAAAAATCAGGACATTTATCTTACAAACTGGACGTCGGATCTAGGAAAATGTGACATGAAAGAACGACTAACCGAAAATCTGAAATGCATGCATATCGTGTTGCACAAGTTATTTTTAAGGCATTTTGATTCAAATTATGCTAGCAAAATCTTGTTGTTATGTTATAGAAATATGTAAAGACTTATACGCGGATCTGGCCGAGCTGTAAACATTGTGCGAAAATGTCGCCGTAGCATAGATATTTTAGTAAGAGTGTGTTGTTCCCTTCCACCCACACAACTCTATGTATAATAATCCAAGAAGAGTAGAAAAGGGTATATTTTTCTATGTTACATGGGTAGATGTTATTGTTTCGGTGCTGTTATATTCAAATAATGTTGCGTTAAGAAAAAAAATGCCGTTGGAAGCATAGTTTCTCTGCAAAACAGAACATTGATACTGCTCCACCTCAAACGTAGGCAGCAGGGCCCACTTGTATAAAACATCACAAAGTTAAGGGAAATCTCAAGCAATGTATTGTCTATGGGAATACTTAGACCTGAGGAAATCTCAAGAGTTGAGATGTTTTATACAAGTCGTGTGGGACACTTCGTCAGGTGGCATAGGACTAAGTAGTTAGTGACTCATATGGCAATCCTGTGAAATCTTCCAATTGCATTGATTTTATTAATTGTAATTATGTAATACAAAAAAATGGATTGAAGTCCATGTGACAGAAAAATTATACAAAAACCACAAGAAGATCGATTATCGATGCCTTTCGCTGCTGTACAGTTCTTCCTCGTGGTTTTATATTGTATATGGACTGTAAAGCGCAGTAGAATGGCATCATTATTTAAGCCAGTTATATCATATATCGTGTAATGTATGAAAAATAATAAAATATATAAAGATTTAAAACGAATACAATGAACCTTAAAACTATGTAAAAATATGTTTTTGAAACAATCTTATCATCATTGGCTTTTCCATATGCACATTTACGCTTGAAATGGTGTTATCATCCTCACAGTATTTGTTCGTAACTTTATATTGATTTGTTTATGACGGACTATATTCTTACGCGGATCACTTTTGTGTTGATATCACTTCCGGTTTAAGACGTCACCTGGCTCGAACAGACGTTCTTTTTTGAGAAATACATGTACGTTCCCAACTGCCGGGAAATATGAAAATCCGTTCTCAAGTTGTTCTCAAGTCTTTCTCAACTCCTTCTGAGGTATTCTCATACTGAAAACCCATGATAATGTATTTATAATGCTCTTGGTAGGTGGAATAAAGTAGTATATAGATGATAAAGTCAAATATCAACCGATTTGATGACCTTACGTATCGTGCCGTGCGTTTTTGATGTAATAATGTATTATTATATCCACAATATATTGAGACACGGAATTATTTGATCAAATCTATGCACGTGCGGCACGTTCAGATAATACATTTAGACACGGTGTTATTTGATCAAACAGCGTCACGTTCTAATAACACGGTATAATTTGATTAAAACAAAACGCACGGCACAATACATGAGGTCAAGGTCATCAAAATTGGTTGATATTTGACACCTAAATTGTTGTTAAATCGTCATGTATTGGTTGATAATTGGTGACCTAAATTCCTGTAAAAGCGTCATTTATTGGTTGATAAATGGTTTCTGTTATTGTTGTGACTTGGCAGTGCAATAACAATGAACAAGTCAAGACAAACTGCTCTGCTAAAGATGTGGTAACTGAGAGCGCACCAATAAAGTGAAAATGATCTTACAAATGAGAAGAAATGGGGGGCTGCTTACATTGAAACATTGTCGCTTTGTGATTGAAACGCATGTGCTCAGTGGGGCGTGCGAAATGCATCCGCATCATTTGTTGGAGTCGGTCTGTCAGTGCGACACATATTCTCAACGTGTGACTTATTGCCTGCGCTGTACGGCCTGATTTACCGACTCGGTTACACGGTGTGACTTACGGCCTCCAATGTACTCGTACAGCGAGCTCGACAACCATGTCACTCAAAGTTCCACTTAATAAAAAAAAATGAAAATGTTTATATAAAGTGAAGTGTGGTTGAAAAAAAATGGGATTGTATTTACCTGAAATGAAACTTAAGCGATGATCGATTTGGTTATTCATATGTAAGATGCATATACAATGTACAGTGTATACATAGCCTTCAGAAGCGGTAGTCACATAGGTACCATATACATTGGTTTTCAATGACGGTTTGAAATAGTTCTAGAATGTTCAGCTTTCTCTTGACCAAAAAACTTATGTTTACACCGCTGAGATTACGTCATATCAAACAACAAACCCTTTCCAATTAACAGGTTCTCTAAGTTCTGAAAGTTTGAAAAGGGAAAATCAATCCAACGCGATATTGTTGAAACTGTGCAAGCATTAACTAAAACAAAATTAAACATGAAACTTTAACGATGAATTCGAACGTGAAAAATCACTTCGGACGATACTTGTAAAGTTTATTATAGCAATATATACTTTTCTAATAGGAGATTTAAAAATCTTTAACGCACAAGCATTTTGAGTAATGTGAAGCAAAAAAGTGAAACGTTGGTTTAAAAATCCATTTACAGTCTGAACAACTGGGACACCACATCAAGTGGGGATTTGACTGTAAATATATTCGTGTAGGTGGCGCCTCATTCGTGCTTTAGTTTCCTGGTGGAAATGTTGTGGTATGACAGGGAAATATTCTCGTATGATTTGAAGTATTTATCATTAACAAAAAAAACTTGATATGTTTCCGATACGATCTGGAACTGCGATGATGTTGGAAACTTCCGATATTCTCAGACTGGCTGGTTGTGTGCTGTAGACTATATACCAATATAGATGTACTGACACGGACACGTGGGAGACCCAGCGCACGTGAGAGTGTGGAAAGTTAGAGCGGGACCAGTTGTCGGGCTCCATCAGTATTAAGTGGGCGCTAAACATGAATACAAAAATGATTTTGTACTCGAATGCTCATGAATATGATTCGCAGATTCACCAGATTTTTGTAAGCATTACCAAACATCACGACTGTTACACATAACTACTTTGCTCAGATAGACGGCGACACGCGAATATATCTTAATAGGAATTGTGTCTATTGTCCATTGTGGAAGATTACGTCATACTCTGCGATTAATTATTAAAGTGGATGAAGACGTAAGCATGGTGATGACAGATTGATACAACACATATGTCAGCAAATGACCATTAGTAGCACGGCCGTTACGGTGTGTACACGTGTTTATTCTTGGTGCTTTTATAGAATTGTCGAAATCAGTTTATAATTACTTGGAGACGTTTGTATATGAGCTTATTGTGGCGCTTTATGAAGTGGTTTTTTATACAACAAATGTACCGCAAAGTGTGTTACATCACACGGTGTTGTATTTGTGTGGCTACGAATCGAAGTCGACAAAGTGATGGCGATACAAGGACAGGACATAGGTTTCTGGTCTGTGTCTTAATGGGTGTGTCACTTTAACTTTAATGGTATAAGATAAGTCTGTTCTACAGTAGATATTGTAAGTAACATTGGTATGGACATGAAAAAATACACATCACTTTACAAGTTCTGCGTTTGATGTGAATTTTCTGTAGATATTTGCAAAACCATACAGTTTTGAAGAAATTAACATTATATGAGGTTTTGACACAATAAAGTGTGAAGCTCTGGCTAGTCGCAGTGTTAACAATAACAATGTACCCGATCTAACTGGATTTAATTGTGTAACAACGACCCCGTAACACTCCGGAATACCCAAGGTTGTTTGTCTGTTATGTATCGAGTAAGAAAGTGGGTGGCCACTATATTGGGCTGGCAGCGGTGAAGTGTATACCGCTCACAAGACCACTCTAGCACGTCTACAGTAAGCGCGGGTGTGCCGCGGTGTCTATCGTAGCCTTGTGCCTCCTCGATCGGGACACCTTCCAAAATCTCTAACAAACATGGAAAAACATTATATTTTGTGTGTTCTAGCTTTCGTCGGATGCTTTAGTGGAGGTAAGTGACATTTTTTAAGCTTTGTAGCGAGAGTTTACCGGTTAACAGTTAACAGAGGTCACCTTTACAAGTTTATCCAGTTATTTACTCGGTATAATGTAACAACTCAGTTACATGTCCTGCTGGTAGGCGATACAGTGAACCAAATGTCAAAATTCATGTTCCGAATTGTATATCTAAGTACACGAATCTACAATACTTATAAAACATAAAAGATGATGTTCAAGTCATTTATGGAATGATAAAAATATTTTGAGTCACTTAAGAGCGCATGGAGTACGGAGGAAGTGGTCGTATAAATCATGTACATAGGTATATACACCTAATACTTACTATGTATACTATTTGGGAACCGTAGGAAAGTTTGTGGATATGTAAGTACCTCCTAAAACAACAAACATATAACAGTTGCTGACAAAATATCTGGGCGAATTTTAAGGGAAACGTTTGAACGGACAGCACAACAAAAACGATGTTATATATAGCTGTCCCTTCACGAGTCTTAATGAAAAACACATGTCAAAAACAGTTGATGGTGTTTTCAAACATGAAACTTCACTTAAAGGCAACACATCGTGTGTTTTAACGAGTGGACAGGGGCCATATACTGCATATCAGCGCGTGAGGGGGAGAGTCACCAGGAGGTTTTGTCCAGCACTAATTATACACAAACCATTCTCATTCTGTACTCGCGTAAAAAAATCAATATTTGTTCGAGTTGAATGAGGGGGGNGGGGGGGGGTCTTTTGATCCCCGATCTGGTTTACATCTGCCCCTCATTTAGGCCAGCGTTAGGCCGCTGGTGGTTCAGATCACTGCTAGGCGTGTGTCAATCGGAGGGAACAATTGGGACGCAGAACTAGGGCACGCTGGGTCACCACAGTATCGCTACAACACGGGGACCAACACGGGGACGTGGCCTTAGTGGCCTTATGTGTTAACATTGGAGTATTGACGTCGTATTATTCATACAAAAGTAAATATGACCTACAAGTCACCCGAGTCTTGCGTAGATACCCGTTCATAGGTACCCGTTCATGTGCTTGAAAGCAACATATCAATATTTTCACTGTAGCTTACCGGATACCAAGAACCAGTATTTGCTTACTTAATGTTGGGACACAATAGCATGTTAAAAATATGTCAAATTTTATCTTACAAAAATCTTTAAAAAGCTGTTGTCAGGGATACTTCTGAAGAAAAACTACAGTCTACCCTGAATTCAGTAACTACAGTCTACCCTGAATTCAGTAACTACAGTCTACCCTGAATTCAGAAATTATTTCATAAAGACCATCACTGGGTACACGTATTGGATTTTGTTTTACATTTAAAGGTAAAACATTTAAACTGCTATGATATTGACCTTTGCATGATCGAGAATTACAAAACACATATCTTTGATCAAACAAACGGATTAATTTGTATAATCATAGAAGTGACAGCCCTGTGCACAGTTTGAGATTATGAAAAAAAACCCGAAACGACAAGTCCATGGGGAAATCATAAATGGGTTCAGTATGGGCGTAATTTACTAAGTTTGATGTCACAGTAAGATTACAAACGAGTAAACAACTAACTTGTTTATAACGGAGAATTAGCATTATATATGGTTGTAGTAAGCGTTTTTTAATGTGCAGTGTTCATAATAAGCGATTTATACGTTACATAGTTGGTAATTTGAATGCTGTATTGTACAATGTTCATAGTAAGCGTGTTTTACTTTACAGCGTTCGTAACAGTGTTTTACTGTTTTACAGCGTGCGTAACAAGTGTTTTACTGTACAGCGTTCGTAACAAGTGTTTCACTGTACAGCGTTCTAACAAGTGTTTTACTGTACAGTGTTTGTAACAAGTGTTTTAATGTACAGTGTTCGTAACAAGTGTTTTACTGTTCAGCGTTCGTAACAAGTATTTTACTGTACAGCGTTCGTAACAAGTGTTTTACTGCACAGTGTTCGTAAAAAGTGTTTTACTGTACTGCGTTCGTAACAAGTGTTTTACTGCACAGTGTTCGTAATAAGTGTTTTACTGTTTTACTGTTTTACTGTACAGTGTTATTAACAAGTGTTTTACTGAACAGTGTTTGTAACAAGTGTTTTACTGTACAGCGTTCGTTACAAGTGTTTTACTTTACAGCGTTCGTAACAAGTGTTTTAGTGTACAGTGTTCGTAACAAGTGTTTTACTGTACATCGTTCGTAACAAGTGTTTTACTGTACAGCGTTCGTAACAAGTGTTTTACTGTACAGTGTTCGTAACAAGTGTTTTACTGTTCATCGTTCGTAACAGGTGTTTTACTGCACAGCGTTCGTAACAAGTGTTTACTGTACAGCGGTTGTAACAAGTGGTTTTTCTGCACAGCGTTCGTAACAAGTGTTTTACTGTACAGTGTTCGTAACAAGTGTTTTACTCTTCATCGTTCGTAACAGGTGTTTTACTGTACAGCTTTCGTAACAAGTTTTTACTGTACAGCGTTCGTAACAAGTGTTTTACTTTACAGCGTTCGTAACAAGTGTTTTAGTGTACAGTGTTCGTAACAAGTGTTTTACTGTTCATCGTTCGTAACAGGTGTTTTACTGTACAGCGTTCGTAACAAGTGTTTACTGTACAGCGTTCGTAACAAGTGATTTTTCTGCACAGCGTTCGTAACAAGTGTTTTACTGTACAGCGTTCGTAACAAGTGTTTTACTGTACAGTGTTTGTAACAAATGTTTTACTGTACAGTGTTCGTAACAAGTGTTTTACTGTACAGCGTTCGTAACAAGTGTTTTACTTTACAGCGTTCGTAACAAGTGTTTTACTGTACAGCGTTCGTAATAAGGGTTTTACTTTACAGCGTTCGTAACAAGTGTTTTACTGTACAGCGTTCGTAACAAGTGTTTTACTGTACAGTGTTTGTAACAAATGTTTTACTGTACAGTGTTCGTAACAAGTGTTTTACTGTACAGCGTTCGTAACAAGTGTTTTACTTTACAGCGTTCGTAACAAGTGTTTTACTGTACAGCGTTCGTAACAAGTGTTTTACTGTACAGCGTTCGTAACAAGTGTACTACTGCACAGTGTTTGTAACAAGTGTTTTACTGTACAGCGTTCGTAACAAGTGTTTTACTGCACAGTGTTCGCAACAATTGTTTTACTGCACAGTGTTCGTAACAAGTGTTTTACTATTGTACAGCGTTCGTAACAAGTGTCTTACTGTACAGCGCTCGTAGCAAGTGTTTTACTGTACAGCGTTCGTAACAAGTGTTTTACTTTACAGCGTTCGTAACAAGTGTTTTACTGTACAGCGTTCGTAACAAGTGTTTTACTGTACAGCGTTCGTAACAAGTGTACTATCTTTTACTGTGTGTTACTGTAGTGTTCATAATAACAGTGTTATAGAAAACAATGTTCATAATAACCGTGTTATAAAATGCGATGTTCATAATAACGTGTTATAGAATGCGATGTTCCTAATAACCGTGTTTAACTGTAAAATGTTCGGTATTAGTGTGGTTGATTATCCATCGTTTGTAATGGGCGTGTTTTACCGACTATCTTACAGTAAGCGTGTTTTACTGTACTGTGCTATCTTACAATAAGCGTGTTTTACATTACTATCTTGCAGTAAGCCTGCTTAACTGTACGATCTTGCAGCAAGCGTGTTTTCCTGTACAATATTCACAATAAGTGTGTTTTACATTACTACATGTATCTTGTTATAAGCGTGTTTTACTGTAAAATATTCACAATAAGCGTGTTTTACATTACTATCTTGTTATAAGCGTGTTTTACTGTACAATGTTCATAATACTCGTGGTTTACTGTACAATGTTCATAATACTCGTAGTTTACTGTACAATGTCCATAATACTCGTGGTTTACTGTACAATGTTCATAATACTCGTGGTTTACTGTACAATGTCCATAATACTCGTGGTTTACTGTACAATGTCCATAATACTCGCGGTTGACTGTACAATGTCCATTATACGCGTGGTTTACTGTACAATGTTCATAATACTCGTGGTTTACTGTACAATGT